CTGCCGCGTAGGAGTCCAGGCTGGGACGCAGCCCCACGGACTCCAGCATGGAAAAGAGCCGGTTGATGCGCTGCAGGCGGCCCTGAGGGCGAGACAGGACAGCGGCTGTGGGCACAGACACCAGCCCCCCCACATCACAGCTGCACGCCCCTCTGCTCCTGTGCAACTCCAGCCCTGCCTCATCCCCTTCTTCCCCTCAAAGCCACAGCACAGGGATCAGTGGCCTCCTGCCAGCTCTGTCCCTCTCAGCAGAAGGCAAGTCCTCAGTCTCAGAATCATGGAATGGTTTGGGTTGGAAGGGACCTTAAAGACCATCTCGTTCCAACCCCTGCCCTGGGACACTTCCCACTAGATCAGGTTGTTCAAAGCCCCCTGCAGCCTGGTCCATAAACATGTGCTGAAGGCAGATGTGACAGACACAGATAAAACCATGACCACTGCTTCTATAAGGAGGAGGCTCTTCCTCCTGAGCCACCCCCACCTTCCCCTTGGCCACCCAGAAAACCTGCCAGGCAGACCAGGGCAGCAGCTCGGTACCTTTCTCGCCCAGCTACGTATCACGACGTTGTACGCGTCGATGTTCAAAAGTCTTCTCTTCACCGGGGAGCTGTGGTACAGGAGAAGGAACCTCTCGGCCTCCTCTGGCTTCTGCAGGAAGAGGAAGCACTCGAGGTTGGACTGGATGGTCTGCTGCAGCATCTTGTGCTGGCTGCTGTCCTTGTCCTCCGGCACCCTCCGAGGCCTCTGTGCCTTCGCACTCTCCTTCACTCCCACCACCCTGGGCTTGCCGTGGGCATGGACGTGGTGGGAGCCAGCGTGGCTCTGGCTCCAGCCAGCATGGCTCTGATTCCAGCCAGCAGTCACTTTAGCCTTTGGGCTCTTCAGGCTCTTCTTGGCTTTAGCTTTGGCCTTCACCTTGCCCTTTGGTTTGGCCTTGATCTGGCCCTCCTGAGCTAGCTGGGAGGCGGCGATGGATAATTTCCGCTCCACCTTCAGCTGCCGGATGTGCATCTCCTTCTTCAACTTCTCAACCCAGCTGGTGGGCCGGGCCGGGCTCTCTGCCCTTCCCCTGGGAGCCGGCTGCTCCTCCGCGGGGCCAGCAGCCACCACCTTCTGCAGCGGGTCCTGGTACTTGTCATTTCCCAGTGGGGCCAGCTCCACTTTGTTGACCGTCACCTCCGGGACGTTACTGGCTTGGAGCTGCTTCACTCGAGCCTTCAGCACTGCCAGGAAGCACAGAGAGCCAGGGAGAGGTGAAGGGATGTGGCAGAAGGTTGTGTCCTACCCCAGGGCCTCACATCAGAGAGTGCCAGTAACATGCTCAGGAAAAGAGGGGCCACCCAAGGACCTCTCTCCTCCTTGGCCAGCCCTGCTCCCAGCACTCAGCTGCTCCGACCACCACCTTTCTGGGATCCATGTGTACCCTGTGGCCCAACCCTGCATCCCGGGAACCCCAACAATGGCACTGGAAGGGAAAAAGCACCCGCTCCCGCTTGTCCATCCTGCTGCCCGGTCACTTCACCGGGCCTCTCTCCAAGGACCTCGTGCCCTCAGCTCACCCGGGCAGAGAGCCCAAAGCCAGAGCATGTTCCAGATCAGTCTGCAGGGCCCTCGTGCCCCAGAGGGACTCTTCTATCCTCTCCTAGGACCACTCCATGTCTAGAGCAAGTCAACGCTCCCTTAAGACAGAACAGAACTTGCTCAGGGAGGCCAGCAAGTCCATGGGAAGCCCCACATCCTTGCCCAGGCTCCAAGTATTTACAGTCCCAAAGACCTTCTTCATGGCTACAAAGAATGGGAAGACTCTGTGAAAACCTCCCAGGCCACTGACGAAGAGAAACCCCTGCAGCTCTTCCCAACTCACCCTCCAGCAGCTCCGTCCTCTCACAGACACCATTTCTCTGTGCCTTCTCCTTGGCGCTGGCAGAGGAGTAGCTCCTGAGAACACTCCATGGGATCCCTCCAGCGGAAAGACACACAGACGGGGAGATCAGAGGCAGCTCCAGCCCTTACACCGCTCGCTGCCCCACAGCCCTGCCCCACACCACGGCTGGGCCCCAGAGGGCGAGTGGCCCTCGGCTCAGCCCGCAGTCCCAGCAACCCCAGAGCAGGGCCACGGAATGGGGGGCAGCTCTGTGCCAGCAGGTGACGGGGACAGGGACACCCCCACCCCTGGCTCTAACCTCTTGGTGGACGGCAGGGACACCACAAACCCCAGCGCTGTTGCACGGTGTGACAGGACCCCCAGAGCAGGCAGACTCAACCCCACAGCAGTGACAGGACCCCAGAAACCCCCAGTTCCACCCGTAGAGAGTGACAACGCCCTAGGACACCCACAGCCCCATCTCTGTCCCTGGGGAGGGAACCCTCTACCCCCAGCTCTGCCCCGGCAGGGGCTCGGGACGCCGGGGACCCCCAGCCCTGTCCCGAGTGGATGCTCTGGCTCACAGGGACCCCCCAGCCCTATCCCCACTCCGGGACCCCACGGCCCCAGCTCCGTCCCGGGGCTGAGGGACAGGACCCCAGGGATCCCCATTCCCCTGCTCCCGGCCCACGCCCGGCCCGGCCCGCCCTCCCCGTTCCCGGTGCTCAGCCCACCCCCGGGCCGCCCGCTCGGCCTCTCACTGTCCCGGGTGCCCAGCCCCCGCCCGGGCCGTCCTGCCCGTCCCCGGTTTCTAGCCCACCCCCGGGCCGCCCTCCCCGTCTCCTCGCCGGCGCCCCGCAGCCGGGCC